CCCCAAAACCCCAAAACCCCGTTCAAATTTATAAAATACATTATAATGATTAAAAGAAATAAATTATAAAACAAGCTAATAATTAAGATAAGAATCTTTACATATTTCTATTTCAAGTGAATAATTCATAAATATATTTTCAATTTATATCCTTATGTAGAAAGTAGTCTTGTATTAGCTTCATATCAATCTCATAGAGTTTGGCTATCAGATATATAAACTCTAAAAATGATAAATTATCCACATCAATCTTCACTCTTCCTTCATTCAGCCCTACTAGATCAAATATTTGAAGTAATTCTTTTTCGCCAAGAATCCATTAGTTATCAAGAACAATCTTTAACGCATCTAGTATCTATTTTTCTTCAGCTACAGGAAGAACCTCTCTCTCCTTTAAAAATTTCAATAGAGTATTGTAATTCTCAACCTGCTTCAAGTAAAGATCCTTTCTCTTTGTCTTAGACTTAAGCAAATCATACTTAATAGCATCAAAATCAGTCTAATAAAGTTAATCCTTCCATATTGTATCCAGTTTCTCTCTAAATAAAATTGCTTTATCCAATTTGACCTTCTCCATTGTTCGTATAAGTACTTGCTCTGATTTTTCTCTTTGATTCTTGTATTTCTATAGAGTCCTTGAAAGCTTGTTGATAGGATCTGGGGAACTTCTTCGTTTTCTGTGTTTCTTTGCTGGTATTATCTTAGTTGAGTCTAAAATTTTTGAGAATTTCTCAAACTCAGCTCTAATTAGTTATTGCTTATTTTCGGCTATTGGCTCGAGTTTTATCTACTGCTAGTTATGAAAGTTAAATTTATTTTCGGTTTCCTTTTTAGGTCCTAAATTTACAGAGTTAAGTTTAGAAATTCCTGAAAGGTCTGCTTCTTTTGCACTTATCTTAAGCTGCTTCAATTTCTATGTAATTGAGCTTGGTTCAAGCTTGGCTATTTACTGCTATATTTCTCTGTCAGTAAGACTAGTTAAATTATCTTTTTTACCATCAAATAAAATGTTAGCTGTATTTTCGAAAGTTTTCTTGTAAAATGAAAAGTTGCTTTTACTTTTCTACTTTAGATACTATATCCTGTCATTTTCATTAAAGAAAACCTGCTCCTTTTTACAATAGTCTTTCATAAAGCTTAGCTGTGGCTCAGTCTAATGCTATTGATTGAGCACTCTCTTTGAAATCTACTCCAATTTTGAGAGGCCTGCTCTCAGCTCATCAAAATTCTGTACAGTCTCTGGTGAGGGACTTTATAGTCTCGAAATATTTCTTCTACTGCTAAAACCACTTGAAAGATGGCTTTTATTTTAATGACTGAAATTTATAAGGCCTCCTCCTTTCTAAACAAACAAAGCTGGATTGCTCGGGAACATTAAATCCTTGAAATTCTTCTTAAGTCTTTATGCACTTATCTGAGCATCTCTTTCCTTGAATAATACACTATCATTCTTTAAAATCTGGCTTTGATTGATATTAGATATCGAAGCAGTATTTGATTAGCTTAGTGTGTATTATTAAACAATGATAGGGCGATCAGTAATAGTATTTTAAGCACTATTTTGGACACTTTGATTGTTATTTGTTGTTAATACTCTTTAGAATATACATTCTGTTGGGGAACTAGCAATTATATTCCTTATATTGGCCTTTAATCTTCTGTCCTATAGAATCGGTGCATTAGACTCACTTGATATGACCTCTTTCAATCCAGAATCTTCGTAAATACTAGTGCCTCCTCGAATCTTCGAAAGATTTTGTGTACTTTCTTAAATTTCTTTCAAGAGATGCTAAAATCCCTTCTTATACATATGATAGTTTGAATTTCGATCTTTGATTTTAGACCAGTTGTTTATAGTTTTCTCCTTTTTCTTGCTCTGCATGATAGATTATTCAATAAAACTTTGCATTTATTCATCATTACCTGCTCCCTTAGTAATCGCTTTTTATATCATTCTCATAGGAGTTAAAGCAGAGCCTGTATTTCTTAAGTTTATAAAATTTGATTTATCTGCATTTTTTGTTGTCAACGGAAATTCAACATCCTTTAGGAGTCCTCAACTTTGCCTACTGTTAGCTGTGCTTCTAAATCTTTGATTATCTGAAGGAGTTTTAATTTATAGCCATTTAGGATCTAAAAAATCAGCATAGTCCTCTTGTTCACGACTTTTTGACCCTGTCATACCTCTGGACTTCAAGCCTTAAGAAGTGTCACCGTTATTTCTGTCCCCTTTATTTGGACTGCCCTCCTTACCTTTTTTGTAGGAGTTTACCAGATCTGTTAATTGTCTCTAATGTATTAACTTTATTCTCTTTCTAAGAGTTTTTAATTTTGTAAGTTCCAAGTCAACATTACTGTTTATTCTATTCATTTTATTTCTAAAACTGATTGATCTAATAAAATTATTTACCAATTAATGCTAAAATAAGCATCCATGGGGTTTTGGGGTTTTGGGGTTTTGGGGTTTTGGGG